AAACGGCTTTTGCCCCCATAGCCGGGAGGGGGGAGGGGGAGAAGGATGGAAAGCAGTATAGCAGGCGGCCTCTGAAGGAATGGTTTCCAGTGTTTGAATTCGGGTCAGTAATTTTAGTGGCTGCAAAATGTTGTCGAAAAAAATACTCCGTGTCGGACCCCGATTCGTGCAAATAAATAAGCAAATGTACTGGGGTCAAATGTCGCACAACTTGCGCACCAACCTATATATCGGCCTCTGAAACTAATCAGTAATCTCCTTTATTACAGATCTCATCGCTAAGCTTTCGGGGACAGCAAAGAGCAAGAAAAAGGAAGAATCGGATTCCGATTCTTGTGGAGAACATGAGCCGTCATGTAGTAATACGGTGAAGGAAGAAGTGCAAACTGAAGAGGATCATCAATGTGACGTGAAACAGGAGCCCGAAGAAGAACATGAAGAAAGCGAAAATGAGGAAGACAGCGATAACGAAGATGAACACGATGAACAAAATGATGTTCAAGAAAGCACGGAAATAAAGATGGAAGAGATTGAACAAGATGATGTTGAGGCAGGAGAAGATGAAGCAGAAGATGAAGAACAGTCCGACAGTGAGGATGAGGATCCACGTAGTTAGTAGATTGTAGTATGTCATCGGGATGCATAAAAGATATTGTTGTATTCCATTTCTGTTGTTCTTACCTCATTCACTCCTTCTGATTCTGTCAACTGATTTCAACTGTGAGATTTTTGTAATGTCATTCAATTTGTGTCGTCTCTGATGTTGGTGTTTATATATTAAGCTGATAATAATAATTTGGTACGTTGATATTCAGCCTTCTTATTTGACAAAGCCTTCCAAGATGTAACAGAAGCAGAAACCGCAGTGTACTGTAGGGCAAGAAGAAGAATCGTTAACCTCAGCCGGGACTCAGATCTGGGTTAAAGTCCAGGCCGTCGACTTCATTGAGGGCAGTGGATAAAATGTACGTTGAGCAGTCCTTAGGTGATGTGTTACGCCTTTGACTCAAAGCATAAATTAGGTGGCATCTGAGAGTGCGTGGATTACTTTTAGTGCGCTCATTCTCCTCGATTTCCCTGAGCCCAACCTCCCTTTCAGTGTGCTGAATGACAGAAGACGTAGGGCTTGGATGTTCCTTCTTATAAGATCAGCATCCTCTTGAGACTTTCCACTTGAAACGTAAGTCCCGCGGCTCAATATGGCTTTGGGGGCGCAGTCCAACATGACCATAGTGAACACCTCGAACATTTCACTTTACGATACGAGGCATGTCAAGTGACTTCCTTCACCCCTATCCCACTAGATTGGCTAAACTCCCCTGGCTCATCCCGCTTTACACTGAGGTAAGTTGTACCGGCCACGTTCATAGCTCACCATAGAGCGGTTTGCGGATGATGCTTATAGAGAAGACAGACGCGTCGATCCGAAAAATGGCCGACTAAGCCATAAAGCGGTTTGGCCATTATGCTGAAAGAGCCACATCGATCGAATTGAGCTCGCCCAATGACCGTTTGTCGATGCTATATGGCAACGATTCTTCAGTCGATACATATTTATCCCTTCCAGCGTGATCACGAAATCGCTTATGAAGTATGAGCGTATCTTAGGCTGCGGTCACAGTTTGCGATCTTGCGATGTGCGGCTTTGTGTGGAGTAGATAGATAGGTACTCAGTATCAGACCGTTGGTTTAAACTTGTCGTGACTTCCGTACGACTCCACCTAAAGGGTCGCGCCTGGTCGGGTGTGCGCGGGTCCTGGCGCGCCCGCGCTGTCGAAGTCTCTCGAAGAACGTCAGGGACGCAGAGTGCACGCGCCCTCGCCTGTGTTCAGTCTACGTGCTGCCGCCGTCGAGTGTAGTCGCTGGCCGTTGCTGTCTGTCGTCGCCACTTGTGCTCCAGTGTTCGTACGTCAACGAATGGTTCCGGGCATGGACGCCCGTCGAAGAACATCGGAGCCGAGCCACGTCATCCCCGCGTAAGAAGCACTTCTGGGTTCGACCCGTGAGTCTAGGTGTAGTAGCCGTATGTTGTAGTCGTTTATTTCTCATCGTAGTTTCAAGATCATATGAATCTATGGTATATATTTTCTTGTAGTGTTTCAAATCGTAGCGGTTGATCCGCACCATACTATCTATTTAGTAATATAATTAGTGTGTTCATAGTCAGTATAACGCTCGTAGGCCGGGCCATAAATTCATCGTAGCTAGCTAGTATCGGGACAATAACATCACGGCGTAGTCCATAGGCATTGCAATACGCAGTAGGATATGGCGTACTGCCAGTCGGGGCTGCTCAGGCCTATTAGGTGTCCGCGTGGCATAGTGGCGGGCAGCGAGCGCGGCGTAAGTCCCCGTAGCTACCCTCACGCCGACACCGACGCCGCTCCTTCGCCGGGTGAACCCCGATGCTTATGCGACTAGCGGGGAGCAAGGCGTCCGTGCCGGCGCGACATGGTGCATCGAGCTGGGGTTCAACGTGTGGGAAACCCACGTTGGGCCTTAGTGATCGAGCCTGCTCTCGCGCTCGCCGCTAGCCTAGTCGGCCCGGTAATGGTCGTAGGCATACAAATTATGTTCAAACGTGCAGTTCAATTCACAGGCGTCACGCCATTGGGACTCCCCAGCCTATCTCCACGTGGGACCCTTCTCTCACCCACGTCGCCTTGAGTGGCACAAGCCGCCGTGGGGACAGCCGTGATACGTCGAGTTGGCGTTAACTCTGCGCAGGTGGGTTAGGTATGCGACGGTGCTCTCTGATAGGGTACTATGGGTCTCCTTGAGTCACGCTGCACCCCATTCACGGGCTCATGTTGGCATTATACGCTAGTGCATATTGTCTGTGCCGCTGTTCATAGTGCGTACGTTATACTTCCATCTACCATAGTACCTCTTCTTGTTGTGCTCCATTATCCTCTCGTATCGCATACGCCGTCAATTCCCGTTTATTTGCCTGGCCAGCACTGCGTCACATGTTACTCGTTTGTTGCCGTAGGACAGCTAGTGGCCACAGCTGCCATACGGATCGACATACACTCACCTTAGTTAGTTTTAGATTTGGGTACGGCAGTACTACCTCCTGCCAGCGAACAAAATGTCGCAACTCAGTGCTCATAAGATCAATCTAACTAAAGCAATTACGGCGTGGGAAACTGTAAAAGGTAAGATCCCGGCGTCTGTTCTCCAACCTTTAGATCCGCAAAGCAGCGTAACGCCGCAGGTGCTTGGCCTTACGTCAAGCTACCATTCAGTCATACTTAGCGCAAGCTCGAGCAGCGCAGCGCACGCTTTTGGAGAAGCGCCAAGCGTTTTTAGACGTGGTTAAAGATCTCGCCACCAAAGACCAAGACAGCGACGCCCAAGAGGCATTTACTAACCAGTCTCGCGTAGACGATGCTATAGCGGCAGTTGAGTCAACAATATTGTCTCTTAGCGTACGTTTACATGAAGTTCAAACGCTTATTGACAGCAACCAACTTATGTCGCTTCCAGATAACACGCAGAGTGTTCCCGAACGTACTCAAGAACATCACGGGAGCATTCGTCGACGCCGTCTACAGCGAGCGATGTCATCCGTCCTCATGTACTGCCCCAGCGTACAGCCGACGCGCCTGGCCCGTCATCGTACTACGCGCAACATCATTCCGTAGTACACCCAGACCCCCTGTACCTAACATCTTCAGCGCAGCCTGCAGTAGAGCTCGGCAACACTCGCTCGAACCGTTTACAGGGGACATCACAAAGTTTCACAGGTTTGGTGCGCTTTCGAGCTCGCAGTGCATAATGACCCTAATACGCCAGCGGTTTACAAATTTCTGTACTTACAAAGTTTACTTCAAGGCGAGGCCCAGGTAGTACTCAGGACCTTGATCCCGACGAGTGCAATTATCTTGAGTTGGTGAGGCTTTGAAGAGGCGCTACGACCGTCCATATAAGACCCGTGCAACTCTTCATAAGCAACTTCAGCAACTGCCCGCAGCTCGTAACAACGGTCAAGACCTGCGTAATACCTGGTTCCGCATATCCGGTATTCTCCATAGTTTGCGTAGATACGAAGATTTCCGTACGGTGTTGCCGCTTCTTGACCTAGTCAAGAGCAAATTCCCGTCGGAAATTCAACGTAAACTGCACGACCTCGAGTTTCAAACCAATTCGGATTTTGATCTCGATCAGGTAATGCAGAATTTAGACCGTATCATCGCATCCGGAGAAATACGAGGATACTACCACCCTTTTTACAAGCCTTAGCATAAGTGCAGTTACATCGCAGCGCACGTCATCGCGCTCTCCGTCGCCTCGGCCGTCATCGTAGACTGCAATCTTATTTTCTTCCTTCCTATGTATCCTTCATTGTAGCAATGCCGATGCATTGTGTTTGGTATTGCGCCAATGCAGGATACAAGCACCCTTTCTTCTGGCACTTGCCATCCTTACGTACGTCAGTAAGCCGCACATGCATATGCATCTAATTCAGTATTTAGGAATTTGATCAGATTCTTCCACATGTACCGTCTCATTATGGAGCAATTGTTGCCCAATGTCAGATACAAGTACTTTTTCCCTGTTAATGTTAGTTAGCTTGTGTAGTGTAACGTAGTTTATCCCCAGTCAAAATAATAGTTCAATAACATTTTTTAAAAAAAGCCTCCCACTTCTTTTCAAAACATTTGCCATATTGCACGCACAACATCTGCGTAGCCTTACCCCCTCTCGCGCCCCAGGATGGCTCGCATATGCGAACCATTTAGGAATTACTAGGGTAGGTAAGTTGAAGGGCAGCAAGGGAGAGAAGTAGCTACGATCTGCTCCTCTTCCTCGTTGTTCTACAGTCGTTTCCATCGTAGTCAACGATAAGTGTACGTAATAACGAGCAAGTTTTCTATTCGTAGTCAAATGATTTATTCTATCACACGGGCCGTAGGTCCGTATAATTGTTTATTAATATTTCTATTTCCAGCGTACTCCGTAGTACGAGAAGTTATGTCAGCTCGCGTAGGCGAGGAAATTATTAATTATTGTTCACGTACGCGTGAACGCAACCGCTGCGTAGCGCAGCACCCCTTGGGGAGCGGTGGGAGACCGCTATTCATTTTTGCTTGTCCCGGGATTTTTCTTTTGCCTTCCCCTTAACTGACCCGTGGGTATTTTCGCATAGCGAGGTAAAATCTCCCCCTCGCACTAAAATTTCCCCCATAGGTGTGAGGCAAAACTCGCACAGTAGTTAAGAAAAACCACCCGTACTCGTTTGGCGTCGCAGTCAAGTCATCTACACCGAACTCGTACGTCACATCGTCTACGTCGTTACTACTACACTACTGCCGAGTTGCTGTCCGAATCGACGCGTCAAGAAAGCTGTTCGTCAATTCATAGCCGCCGTCTCACTCCAAACTCCAGCCATAGATTCAACGTGTTTAATTGTATTTTTTTGTGTCGTAGTTTAAGTAATTGTATCGTAGGGAAAAAACAACTTGACCCGGACGTCAATAAGAATTGCCCTCGAACCCAGCGTAGGTAGTTAGGCCCGTAGGGACTCGACGTTTTAAGTAACGTGTATGTCATCGTAGCTGCGTAGTCGCAGTAGGTAAGGACGGGCTCTGGTCTCCGTAGCCGCTGGGACCCCTTTACGTCGTGCGCCGCCCCCAGTGTCGTGACTTCCGTACGACTCCACCTAAAGGGTCGCGCCTGGTCGGGTGTGCGCGGGTCCTGGCGCGCCCGCGCTGTCGAAGTCTCTCGAAGAACGTCAGGGACGCAGAGTGCACGCGTCCTCGCCTGTCTCAGTCTACGTGCTGCCGCCGTCGAGTGTAGTCGCTGGCCGTTGCTGTCTGTCGTCGCCACTTGTGCTCCCAGTTCGTACGTCAACGAATGGTTCCGGGCATGGACGCCCGTCGAAGAACATCGGAGCCGAGCCACGTCATCCCCGCGTAAGAAGCACTTCTGGGTTCGACCCGTGAGTCTAGGTGTAGTAGCCGTATTATGTTGTAGTCGTTTATTTCTCATCGTAGTTTCAAGATCATATGAATCTATGGTATATTTTCTTGTAGTGTTCAAATCGTAGCGGTTGATCCGCACCATACTATCTATTTAGTAATAATTAGTGTGTTCATAGTCAGTATAACGCTCGTAGGCCGGGCCATAAATTCTCGTAGCTAGCTAGCGGGACAATAACATCACGGCGTAGTCCTAGGTATTGCAATACGCAGTAGGGATATGGCGTACTGCCAGTCGGGGCTGCTCAGGCCTATTAGGTGTCCGCGTGGCATAGTGGCGGGCAGCGAGCGCGGCGTAAGTCCCCGTAGCTACCCTCACGCCGACACCGACGCCGCTCCTTCGCCGGTGACGATGAGCTCTAGGCGCTAGCGGGGACGCAAGGGCGTCGGTGCCGCGCGACATACTCGATTGTCGAGTCGCAAACAACGGCACAGCATTAGATACTATCGATCGTGCGCCAATCCGACAAGCCTGAACAGGACCGTTCGCTATCTCGTGTGATCGTTCATGGTCGACCGACGGGCATGAATCAGGGAGGCCGTTGGCAAAAGGTCGCCACGCCACGACGAAGAGACTGCCGAGAGTTGAAGTACGCACGGAACACAGCCGGTCGCGGTGCGAGAGTCGCATGCGGCGGAGAGCGGCGTCTCGCAACGTCGGCTCCAATATCGCTCAACGTAAGTGACTGCTGAAATGCGCCTTGGAACCGTCGTCATCGAACCTGCGAGCGTGGTCGCAAAGCACACTACAGGCTGATCGATCTAATTGAAGAACTAAGTTCAAGTTATCCCTAGACCCTGACCATAGAACTCACTCAGGCAGGGGTTATGCGCGCTACTTACGTTTGACGTCATAGCATTAACACCGATTATTTTGCTTTTGTTTGTTAACTGCTGTTTTTGGCCGCAGTTCGCCTTGCGAATGTTTTACAAGAATGCTGGGTTGTGAAACTACGGCCTTCATCAGCCGGCTTGTCATCCTGAACCAGGTGCTATACTGGAACCATTTCTGTAATTTTTGCAGGGCAATGCCTTCGTCGCAACAAAGCCGTGACCGACACGAGTGCAGACGTCAGCCGACATTACCAACCAGTTGACTACCCCTAACTTCCAAAGATGACGGTCATAATGCTGGAATTAAAGGAATTCATTTGCGAAGTAATGAGGCAAATTTGTTGCCCTTGGATGGGGACGAGTTGTGTAACTATGCGTACAGTTGACGAGATATTACACAAATTGGAGCTCACATGTGGTGCATTATCGATTTTTGACGTGTGGTTTTCAGTGGCTGAGTCAATAGTGTTGAGTGCCAGCGTCATGCAATTCTTTGGTCGTACATCTCCTGCTCTGCCAGTTTGCTTAGAAATGTTCCAGGAGAATTTGTTAAAGTCCAAATCAAAGAAATTGAGCAAATTTCCACCCTTGTCCTGCTTCTGG